TCAAGTCATCCTTTTTTAACGTATCAAAAACCTGAACACTTGGTGAACTAAGAAAGTCTGTGACCGAAAACACCATGTTGATTTCTGCTGGCTTATAATCAAATTTAACGGTTCAATAAACAAAATTCTGACAATAAACTGCAAAAGTGCAAAAAAAAAATTCTTTATCCCGGACGAGCCCCCAATTCTGTTATGGGTCAGAATTACCCTAAATGCCAGCAAAGATCAATAACACAATTTAAACTTAACAATAATTTATTTACAGTAATATATAATAAGTATATGAAACATAAAGTACAAACTTAGCAAGAATCTAAAAATACATACATCAGAGTGTCCGTTTCTGCACACAATGTCCCAGTGAAAATATATATATCCCAGTTATATCTCAATAGTGCTTATACGACAAAGTATCCACAATTATTATTATGCATTGAATTGACAGGGTATTTATACAGTATTATAAATCTAGAATATTCTAGAAATTGTTAAAACATGATATTACTGGAACAATCTGGACATATACAAAATTTAAGAATGTTCTAGATAAAATGACCAAACATGTTGACCACTCTGGAATGTTCAAGAAACTTAATGTTACTAATTATATACATAATGAAACAATACACATCTCACAACAAACATTAGATTCTCTGTAAAGCAAATACATGGGAGTGGATCAGAGATTTAATTCCAGTTAGACTTCTTTTTTCCCCTTCTGTACTCATTTCTCTGTTCTTAATGATAATGCTTCATAAAGGGTTGACTCAATATCAGCTTTGTATAGTTTATAGAATAAAATCCATTGGAAAATGATGACTGCATTTAACAGGTCGGAGAGAATACTCGAAATCGGGTATTATCCGCGAAATCAGGTATAGGAGGTGTAATCACCTAATTAAACATAAACAATGGGATGGCGCATGTTGCCGAGTTAATTTTCATCTAGATACAAATGTTTTCTAAAGGTATCACTAGCCAAGTAAGAATCTGGGCATCAAGATTAATGCGCTCAGGACAACAAATACCCGTGGAGCTCAGTGCATTTCATGATCTGCACACAAAAAGGCATTCGATTTGCTTTATATTTTTCATAATGTTGAAAGTATATGCATCTTCCCCATGTTCATTCCCAACACAACAGAATTGTAAAGTATCAGAATTCGGGAATTTATAATAATTCCACATCAACACGACAAACATGAACAATTTGTAAATAAATCAAATTATACGGAAACACATTTCACACACAAGATATAATGCCATGTATAAACAAGGGATTGTCTATCGTATCTAATTATGCGTCATTAATTACTTTCACATTCATCTTGTGCATAAAATCAAATTTATTTATCAATGTATAAATAATGTAATAATAAGAATGTCTAAAATTTCGGCTAAAAAACCCTCCTTCTCTTTTTTTTTTCTTCTTTTTTTTGGAAAATCTTTTTTTTTTTTTTTTCATTCATACATATTTGCAGAATATGTCTTCAACATTTTAGCAGAGACAGTGATAGTTTCAGGAATACAGCTTATGAGAGAACATAACTGTTGATCGTTTAATTTCGCTAAGTCATCAATATTTTACCATTTCTTAGCGACTTCAAGGAGGGGGGGGGGGGGCTAAAGGCTTCTTGACCACCTCTGACAAAACAACCTGACTGTGTTCTGCATGTGTCCAAGAGACCTCTCCTTTCGCAATTATTGAATTAAATGTTAATGCAAAGTTTTTTGCTATATGTCTTTGAATGTCACGGTCGTTTAAACTCGGTTATATATTTTTAGCTCTACTGGTCAGAGACCAGAAGAGCTTATGCGATAGTAATGCGTCCGGCGTCCGTCCGTCTGTCTGTCTGTCTCTCTGTCCGTCTGTCTGTAAACAATTTTTAAAAACGCTACTCCTCCTACAATTTTAGTCTGATTTCAATATTACTTGGCACACAAGTAGACTACACTAAGATACATAGAATAGTGCATCGGTTTTTGATTTCGATGAACGGTGTTGCCATGGTTACTAAAAATAGAATTCTCTGTGAAATTCCTTTAAAACGCTACTCCTTCTACAATTTTGGTCTGATTTCAATATAACTTGACACACAAGTAGACTACACTAAGATACATAGAATAGTGCATCGGTTTTTGATTTTGGTGAACGATGTTGCCATGGTTACTAAAAATAGAATTCTCTGTGAAATTCCTTTAAAACACTACTCCTTCTACAGTTTTGGTCTGATTTCAGTATAACTTGGCACACAAGTAGACTACACTAAGATACATAGAATAGTGCATCGGTTTTAAATTTAGATGAACGGTGTTGCCATGGTTACTAAAAATAGAATTTTCTGTGAAATTCCTTTAAAATGCTACTCCTTCTACAATTTTGGTCTGATTTCAATATAACTTGGCACACAAGTAGACTACACTAAGATACATAGAATAGTGCATCGGTTTTTGATTTTGATGAACGATGTTGCCATGGTTACTAAAAATAGAATTCTCTGTGAAATTCCTTTAAAACACTACTCCTTCTACAGTTTTGGTCTGATTTCAATATAACTTGGCACACAAGTAGACTACACTAAGATACATAGAATAATGCATCGGTTTTTGATTTTGGTGAACGATGTTGCCATGGTTACTAAAAATAGAATTCTCTGTGAAATTTCTTTAAAACACTACTCCTTCTACAGTTTTGGTCTGATTTCAATATTACTTGGCACACAAGTAGACTACACTAAGATACATAGAATAGTGCATCGGTTTTTAATTTAGATGAACGGTGTTGCCATGGTTACTAAAAATAGAATTTTCTGTGAAATTCCTTTAAAACGCTACTCCTTCTACAGTTTTAGTTTGATTTCAAAATAACTTGGCACACAAGTAGACTACACTAAGATACATAGAATAGTGCATCGGTTTTTGATTTTGGTGAACGATGTTGCCATGGTTACTAAAAATAGAATTCTCTGTGAAATTCCTTTAAAACACTACTCCTTCTACAGTTTTGGTCTGATTTCAATATAACGTGGCACACAAGTAGACTACACTAAGATACATAGAATAGTGCATCGGTTTTTAATTTAGATGAACGGTGTTGCCATGGTTACTAAAAATAGAATTTTCTGTGAAATTCCTTGAAAACACTACTCCTTCTACAGTTTTGGTCTGATTTCAATATTACTTGGCACACAAGTAGACTACACTAAGATACATAGAATAGTGCATCGGTTTTTTAATTTAGTTGAACGGTGTTGCCATGGTTACTAAAAATAGAATTTTCTGTGAAATTCCTTTAAAACGCTACTCCTTCTACAGTTTTAGTTTGATTTCAAAATAAGTTGGCACACAAGTAGACTACACCAAGATACATAGAATAGTGCAATGGTTTTTGATAAGTACAAACCAGTAGAGCTACAGTCTCGACAGAGACTTCTGGTTTACTGTAGGGAAGATTTATTCATCAAATAAAAATTATACAGGTAAACAAAAAGCAACCTGTTATTTTCTGACACAATATGATACTACCAGTAAATAAATTCATGTTTATTTTTTTAACACATTTTTTCTTCATAGATGAGTATTAGGAAAAGTTATTGCCATGAGTAATAAGTATCACAGATAAAATAAATAAAAGAAAACTGTGACATATTGTCTAGAACCAATCAGTGCGTTGTATAGCATATTATAATGAGGTTTTAAGATAGCGATATAAAAAAAAATGCGTAAAATAGACAACAGAAGGTAAAATCTACCCTGTCTATCAAATAGTATAATAAAGAAAGGAAGTGGATATAATTTTTATGGAATTTTTATGTTCGATGAGGAATTATATTCCCAAAAATTAAGACAAGAGTTTCCAAGGCGCAACCGAACACTCCATTATTTCAGTTTGTTTATTAACATGCTCATAAACGTAAAAACTATAAGAAATGTGAAAACTTGACTATGTAATTCATAATTGAATATGACTGTACCTCGATCTATATTGAGATATTCAATGCATAAGCTCATGAAAAGTTGTACACATTGACTTTTATTTATAACCCCCCCCCCCAAAAAAAAAAACAAAACAAAAAAAAAACCAAGAAAATCCTGTTCTCATGACTTCTCGCTCTCAATTTTCACAGAAATGCATAAAATAAAGGTAAAACAGGATATATTGTATCGATTAAAATGCAACCAAAAAATTTACTGTCTTTGAATATGAATTTCCATGCTAATTGACATAAAAAAGATGCTCACCTTCAATTAGCTATTTTCAACCTGTTTTCCCGTGGGTATTTATTTGATCTTATTTTATTTTCTTCTTTATAATAACGTTGGTATTCTATTATGGCAGAGATACACAATTATGACTCGCTTATACTGTACTCTCTAACTCTTAGGAATAATTTATATTTCACATGAAAGGGACGCCATACATTTTTCAGTAAAAATACATAACACGGCGTTAGTCGTTTAATTTCTCTGAAGTTTCACATTTTGTGAATAGTGCACAAATTTGAAAATTAAGTATATGGAATACTTTAATGGGAAATAAAGACAAAAGAAGTGTAGATATTTGTTTTTAGAAATTATATTGAAAAATAATAACGCCATCTTGTCTTCTTTGTTACCCCAGCAGTGTTTGTCGTGTGATTTTAAACTTATTTGACAACCATATAAATTGGGTTTAATAAAAATAAATCCACAAGATACTGATGTACAAGTAACAGTAACTGGCATAATGTGCCGTTGCTTTATCCTTTAGTTTTTATAGAAAGTTGCACGGAATACCCGATTTCGCGGATTCAACGATACCGTAATATCAGGTATTATACGCGATTTCACGGATAATATCCGATTTCTAGTAGTATCTCCGACCTGTTTAAGACAGAAGTTATGTTTCCATTGATTGTTTTTATTTAGGATAGTAACCTTGTAGGATACATAATATTGTACATGTGCATGTTTTCACTCTGTATCATGATATATTGAATTTTTCCTTCACTTTATTTTAGTGATCCATATGTGAGGATTTCCTTGTTTAGAGGGGACAGAGATTCTGGACTCATAGACTCTGCTACCACAGCAACCATTAAAAAGGTAAAAGTTGTAGTCAATCATCAGCAAATTCATTTGTTAAGTTACACAAAACTTCATCTTTGCTAGCCAAGGATTTCGGAGTTTAGAGTCGATTTTGGATCGAAACTCTTGGCTAGTGAAGATGACAAAACTTTTGTTGAAACAATCTTGAGAACTGGTATCATGCATTCTATTCTGAATGACTTGTCTCACCAATGCTGCATGATTGTATTTTTAAAACACCTCAAGGTTTAAAGTGAACTTCCTACACAGATTTATTAAATTTCCAGAGAAAAAAAGATTTAATCCCTGTTTATTTATTAAATTTGCAGACATTAAATCCTGTGTGGAATGAAGAGTTCTTATTTAGGGTGAGTTTTGAACATTTACTGCAATTTATGGAAAAAAAAATAATGATAAAAGTTGAAGCTCTTAAATGTGTTAAAGATTTAAAACATGTTAAGAATTGTACATAAATCAAATATTGTAACATTAATATAATAGGAATGATTAGGATGCTATATTCTGTGTTTCAATTTTAGGTAAACCCCAGGGACAATAAAATATTGTTTGAAGTGTTTGATTCCAACAGAGTGGTAAGCAAGCTTTGGTCATTTGTTTAGTCTCCACTAGAATACATGTATCAGACTTTATTTTAAGATGTGCAATTTCTGTTATGACAAGTTCTGTTCTCAGTTTTACAATATTACCAGTTCAATAGTTCATACTGAAAACAACCAAGTATGCATAAATGTATAGGTTCTGTAAACTGTTTCATGTAAAGAAAATTGTTGCATTTTATTTATAAAGACTTAATACTGTCTATACCTGTAAGTGGACTGAGTTGTGTGTAATAAAGAAAACACAGAAGTATAAACAGTTTACCCTGCTTTCTCAGTATTTTAACATCAATGTTATTTCAGACCCGAGATGATTTCCTGGGCCTGGTAGAAATCCCTTTAATTCACACAGCAATACAGATTGAGGGAGACAATGTAATTGAACCTAAATCCTATCTGTTAAGGCCTCGCAGGTAAGTCATATGTTTTAAGATATGAGTTTTTAAGGTAACGACAATTTTTCTTCAAACCTAACAGTCTTTTTACTTTATGAGTCAAGTGTATCAAGCTCCTATTTTCCTACAGGATATGATTTCCTAATTTCTATGTGTCATAAGTGGTACATAAAAAATGTGCCCTTCTTCCCAAAAAAGACTTTCTGAAAGAAGACATATTGCTTCAAATAGAAAAATTTTTAAAAAGTCATTGGACCCAGCTTTTCCTTGCCCAAGATACATCACTCCTAGAGTGACAGTGTACCTAACATATCTAAGAACTAATTATTTTCATAATGATTCAATACATGTTTTCTTTGAAATCATGTTAAGATCACAAAAAATTAAACTTGCGTGAAATTGTTTGATTATTCTCATTGTGTGTTTTACTATATATATTACGAATTGTTGAGCAAATGTAAAAATTGAAATAAAAGTATTTTGGTAGAATCTTTTCAAAAAACTTTGTCATGCAGAAAACCTGTTACCAATAATTAAACAGTTACTTTGTTACCTATGTTTAGCAGTGTTTGTGTTTTCTTCCTGAATGAAATATTTTAAATTACACTAAACAAGATTATAAAGTTAGAAAATGCAAATATGAATTGATATTGGCACAGTATGGATAATTGTTGTCGTTTTATTTATGTTGTAGTTCTCGATCCCGAGTTAGGGGGAATTTAATGATTTACCTCGCGTATGTGACCCCAGAAGAAGGGGTTGAAACACAGCAGGATGATTCAGGGGCACAGAACTCTACAGAACCAACAGTGAGTAGCTCCTCAGTCAGATTCTAGTTCCCTCCCTTGTAAATTTTAGGGATGCAATCAGAAAAAATTTTGTACCCAGTCTATTGTAAAATTTCTATGATTCAATGATTAAACATCCACTCCCTAATAGTTCATCTCTTTTAACATTAATGTCAGAATATGTTGTAGATCAGGCATACCGAGGAATATGGTCATCTCTTTACATATATGATATATCAGTTATATCACCTAGCAGTATCACCTATCTCTATATTATCATCCCGTTTGTTCTGTCTTTTGGGTCTGTTAAGAAGGAATAAAACTTTGTTTAATGAATCACTTTGATGAGAGATTTCGTATTTTTATCTATGACAGTGGGAGATGGTGGATCTAGACAATGCCTTAGATCAGCTTCAAACAATCTCCTGTACAAACGATGCCTCCGGGGCCTCAGGACCGACCAACGAGGAAGAAAATGAACCCCTACCCCCGGGATGGGAGGTCCGCACCCACCAACCTACTGGGAAAAAATACTATATCAATCACAACACCCGCAAAACCCAGTGGGATCCACCACCTAGGTATCACTTACATTAGCATTGAAAATCTAATTTCTGATTAGTAATAATAAAAAAAGCTAAAAAAAAAAAGTAGATAAATTCAAAATAGTTTTGTTCAGATTCAACTTGATATATAAATTTACTACACAAAGATACTTGATTTTGATTTTTAAAAATGTTGCCAAAAAATAATAATTGCTCTCAAAATAAATTATTATTTTTGAAATTCTTAAAAAAAAAACTACTACTCCATTGTATTTTGTTTAGGGGACAGAGAACAGGAAGTACCTCCCTGCCACCAGACTGGGAGGAGAGACAGGATTCTAACGGACGAATTTATTACGTCAACAGTGTCACGCGAGCCACACAGTTTGAGAGACCTACAAGGTACCAGCAAACAAAGCATATTTATGATTGTTTTGGAAAATCTTTAAAACACACAAAAAGAGCTAAGATATGATGTATAAACTAAAAAAGAGATTATAAAGTAAAGATTTCTATCTTTAAGATTATTAACTTAGAGTTTGTTTTGCATTAACTGGAGAAGAAAGCAATTTAAGGTAGTCCTATCCTTAGGTTCATAAATCAGCAGTTAAGTAAGTGAAAATGTTGACAAAAATATGAATTCACAAATTATTGTATATTTACCCACAGTATTTCTTCAAAATAAATTATATAATATACGAAAAAAAATTATTAAATAGGTTTGTTGCACAGTGCAAAATAAAAAGGGATAAATTGGCTTATTCAGAAAATAAACGATCAGCATATTTTGTAGTGAAAATCAGGAGAGTCCTACAGAGGAAGCTCAGCACAGAAGGATGGAGGCGGCCGAGTTATTCCGTAATCGTCGTCACGTCAGTGTGGAGGACACGATCAGTATGCACAGTGAGATGGCCCTGCCAACCACCGCCACAGGGGTCAGAGATCAGGAGGAGCAGGAGGAACGCAGAGAGGTACAGAATTACACTGATTTAGTCAAACTTTTATTTATCAAGTCTGTTTGAAATGTAATATGTGTATTTAAATTTTTTTTTTGTATTTAGAATTAGTTATTTTATCCGAAAGAGAATCTGTGTTTGTACATTTCTTTTCTACATAAGGGGTGATTATAAAAGGTTGATTCTAATCTACACGTTTTGATTTTTCTATCATGTGGCAAATTTTTAAAATAAATTTTTACTGGCTATGTAAACAGTAACATTAAAAACACCATTTAAAACATAACAAACATATGCATATATTTGACATAATTAAGTGAAAATTTATATCTCACAAAACATAATTCATGACAAAACTTCACTCCTGCATAAAATTTTACAGCGACGATCGGCAAATGTACGTGCTGCCTCAATAGACATTCCAACAGTAAGTCTGCAGTTGTATGTAAACCACTCCAGTCAGTATAAATCATGTTTATAAGCTAAAATTAAAAAAAAATCAATTCCTAGCAAAAACAGGGGGTATGACAACATTTTTTTTATTCTCTCAGTATAAACATGATTTATCAATCAACCAAAAAAAGTGTGTTGTATTAATGCATCTCTGTTTTCTGGCTAAGGCTAGTATGCATTATCACTGACAATGCTTTATAGTTATCTTATTCTGTAGACATACATCTGTGTAGTAGCCAAGGAAAGTGGCTATTGGCAAATGATTATAATTGTGTCTTAAATTATGTAAATTTTCTTTAATGAAATTGTGCATGACTGACATTTAATTTGTATGTTCTGTGATGAAATTTTGAGTAATTGAATTAATTGGAGGAAAAATAACTTCAAGATCTCTTGTGCAGTTCAAAATTTGATATATTTTAAACCAAAATTTTAAAAATGTATGATAATTTTCAGTAGTTTAGCAAGAGATAAATATCAAGGTGTTTAAGATGCACAATTAGACCTTTTAAAAATCTGCATATTACTTTAAACATTACAAATATATTTTCCTTTCATAGATTGTACAAGGTACATGTATTTATTAAAGTTTACGTACAAACAAAATCTTTTTGCACAAAAAGCACCATGTATTTCCACTTCTGTTTGAATAAAATGTTCTCATTTTTTAAAGAAATATAAGAATTTCAGCCATCTGTATTGTACTTTTAATGAATTGCAAATTTATTTTTAAAAAAACACACACATGCCAATGGCACATAAGTTTATTTTTGAAAATTCTACTTTCCTCATCTTGAAATATCTGATGAATTATTTTTTAATTGGGGCAAAATAAGAAAGATGTGTAGTAAAAATTATATTTAAAAAAAACAAAAACAAAAAACAAAAAAACCCATGACTGTTTGCTTGTCAGATGTCTGTAAAACAGTATGAATGACCATCTACATGTACATGTATTTAATAACAGTCTGTTAAAACTAGCATTGTGTCTTACTTTCTTAAATGATTGGCATGTCTCATGTTGAGATTTCTGAATGAAGGAAGCTGTTGCTGCAATACTACATTAACATCATGTGAATGTGTATCATTACCAATGATCATGGTATGCTATTGGTAGTTAATCAAGGAGTCATGGGAGCTATACAAAAAAAACTGTTAAGCATGTACTGAATTTTTTTCTTTCCATGACCAAAATTGTCAGGAGTTATATTTCTATTTTTGACCATTTTATGATTTATTGATATGTATTCCATAATAACTTCAGATTGTCAGAACTGGAGTGTTTTGGTTTTATATATTAGTCTTTGACCATAACGCTACAGATCCCGAAATGGAAATAAGATGCAATTTATGACGCAAGATATTTTGTGCACTGTTTTGGCTAATTTCTCCACTTTCCAGCATTAGTCAATCAACTACTTTCACTCTCTAATGCTAGACACATTGTTTAACCAATCTGTATATTTTATCAATCTCCTGGTCTGTACTCACAAATAAACTCAGATAATTCAAAACAAGCAAGTTTATTTGCGCTGTAAATTGCACCTTATTTACATTACGGGATCTGTAGCATTATGGTCAGAGACTAAAAATATAAAACCGAAACACCACAGTTCTACAGTTAATTCCATAATTTACCATAAAAATGATTTTATTAAGGTATAAGACTGTGTATTGCTTTGATTGATTCATAATACATGTAAATAATTGCTTTTCATGATGAAGTAGTATAGACAAAAATGTATGTAAAGCTTATGTAGTAGCTTCATCAAATATGTAATATTTCCTGTAAAGTGGAGGTTTTAGTCAGATGAGGCACCCAGGTGTCTTAAAGTTCCAGTAATCTATTGCTTCTCTTTTAACTTTCTGAATGTCCTCTGCTTTTACTCAGGCAATACTTAAGCCAGTTTCAATCATTTTCCATAGCATCCATAAATAAAAGAAAACAAATGTTATGAATTTCATTGTTAATAGAATCTGAGGGAATAAGACCGAAACCATCAAACTTAAGTATATTTAAAAACTTTTAGGCTTCGATAATTCGAAAGCATGCTGCTCAAATGATTTTTACACTCAGATATTAC